TCATGCTCGACCAATAGTAAGCATCTTGAAGTAATCCAAGGGCCTTGTCTTTGCCAAAATGTCCCAATTTGTGATGCTCAACCAACAAATGCGTCGTCAAGGAACAACTAGGCACACGCAACTTAAGGCCATGGAAAATGAAGCCATCCCTAATCATGTAGCTTGGATAAATAGCCCTATCCCCCATCTACAAAGCATCAAAAATCTTGGAAAAATAAGGTTCACTTGCATAGAAGGTGTGAAGCTTATCAGAACCCATAACTTTACTCTTCATCTCAACCAAGAAAGTCGTTCGCCTACTCAAGCCGTCGACCACTTTATTAAGAACCTCTGATTTATGTCGCAAAGAAAATGTAAATTGTTGCAAGTAAGCAATCCATTTGGCATGTCTCATGTTGAGATAGGATTGGCTATTGATGTACTTGAGGGCCTCATGGTCGATGTTAAGCACAAACTCCTTATAAGCAAGGTAATAGCTCCAATGCTTGATGACTTGGATAATGGCATAAAATTCCAAGTCATAAGTAGAATATTTGAGCTTGGCCCCGTTCAACTTTTCACTAAAGAAGGCAATTGGTCGCCCTTCTTGGCTAAGGATTCCCCCAATGCCCAATCCTAAGGCATCACAATCAAGTTCAAAGGTTTTGTCAAAGTCCGGTAGTGCCAAAATTGGAGCTTCAGTAAGTACTTTCTTCAAAAGGTGGAAGTTATCGGCGGCTTCTTTGTTCCATTCAAAAGTCTTAAGCTTGAGAATATTAGGTAAAGGAGCAGCGAGACTACTACTCTCGTGCGTGGTCACTATAGACTATATACAGTCTAAGGATAATATTACGGATTCGTTAACCTAAGGATAAAATTGAGAGTTAGTAAGAAGTCATCATGAGGAATGAGGTTAAGGCCCTTAGCGAATGTTACCGGAATGGAAAACCCAACCTAGTTGACTAGAGATCCCAAGATCTAGGTTCAAAGGGACAAACTAATTGCATATAACAAGTGAGTCACTGAAGAGGTAAATCCTCTTGTCCATTTCTTTATACAGTGATACCTTGTGGGGTGGAAGGTTAAACTAATGCTTTTAATGACCTAAGTATTATGAATAGTCAACCATGGTATAGCAAGATACATTATGTAGGTCACTTATGTGAGTGCGAAGTGGGGCTACTTCTTTAAGAATTGACAAGCCCGGATTCTTTAAAAACACTCACTAAACTAGGCTAGTGTTCTAGGGCCAAATCGGACACAATAGTGAGAATAAAACTATGGTTGGAATAATTCCTGTGTGAGATCTATTGTCTCAGTTTACACAAATGGCAAAACAGTTCAAGACATCACGTTTACTGGTCAGCCCGGTAGGCTTTCATTACAAAAGGTTCAAGGCCAACATCTACCTTTTTTGATGCAGGGTTATTCTATGTACTCTCTGTCCGAGTCTTTGTTGTTTAGCATTGTTTGTTTTTCTTTATTCATTCAATTTTATTCATGTGGGGGATTGTTGGAGATAATGGGTTTTCAACAACTTTAATTTGAATTAAAGTGGCACCCAACCACCAATTGAGGTGGGTCTGAGTAATTTTGTATTCTATCAAGAGAGAAGATTGCAATACAAAAATAATGAGCCGAAACCATTGAGTTGTGAATGAGAATTATCTCATAAAGTGGGCATCAATAAAGTTAGGCTTAGATTTGGACTTAGGCTTCGTTTGGCAACCGAATTTTTTAGCCAAAAAGTCAAAAAGTTACTAAATTAGCCAAAAAGCCAACAACCTATACCAAAAAGTCAAAGATTCTCTTTTCTCTCTACTTTTTGCACATCTTTTCGTAAAAAGCCAAAAAGTCATTCCAAACATACTAGTTTTTTTTAGCTCATATTTTAGTCAAACAGCCAAAAAGTTACTAAATTAGCTTGTTCCCAATCTTGGTTTGGACTAGGCTTAGGCTAGTGCTTGTGCATGTGCTGGGTTTGGTCTTGGACTTCGACTTGGACTTAATCTTGAGCTTGGGCTAAGCTATGTTATGTTGGGCTTAGCTTGTGCATGTGTTTGAGAATTAGGCTTCGATGGGGTTGTGACCCAACATTAGTATCCATTTTGTGACCCATCTAGTTGGTTTATTCAAACATCATTATATCCATATTTATTTGTATATATTAAGCACATGCGAAATGTAAGTTTTTCTAACTCACATGTTTTGATGATGGAGTTGATGACCATATTAGTGGCCATAAGTTTTCAACCTTTATAACTCTGTCCCTAATGGCTAGAGTTGATGGCCTTGGTTAATGGCATTTGACGGCCCTATTGATGTATAGCTTTCATGGCTAGGAGTTTCCCTACTTGTATAAATAGAGGCTTTTCCTTTCTAACTTGGAAGGATAATTTTGGAGAGATTTTTTATGGAAAATGGAGATGATGTTTTGAGATAAAAAGTTGGAGAAGATTTTTATACTAAAGAAATTTTTCTATCTTTTTTGTGCTAGCCCTTTCTTTGGTTCTTATTAGAGAGAGAGTGTTGCCATTGTCAAGTTCGCTAAAGTTATACAGAAGGTGTTTCTGCATTAGTTGGTTTCGACCGTCATATCTTGGGAGACAGACGTCGGTGTACTTCTAACATCCATCGAGAGGCGGTGAATCTGTTTTAAGAAAACTGTGGTATCACACAAGTTTCAGTTTGTATCTCTTATCTTCTGTTCTTTAAATTTTTAGATTTGAACTGTTTCTTGCATATTATTTTATTTGTTCATAGGAATCCATCTTGTAATATGTTTCATGATGTAATCTAGTTTATTTATGTATTTTTAGTTGTGTAGTTTATTTTGTATTTCATCCTTTAATAAACAAAAAAAATTGTTTTCTCATTTCTATTTATTTTATTTTATATATTTTTCTTATATTATTATGGAAAAATACCAACAATTACCCCATTAGACCGTCTCCAATGGTTTATCAATTCTTTCATCAAATTTAAATTTGATGAAAAAATAACATTTTTTCTACTCCAATGGTTTTATCAGATTAGTATCAAATTGAGGATATTAACAATCTTTCATCAAATTGAGGACGCCTAGGAGCTTACATCAAATCACTGTTTATAACTATTGAATTTTCACCCCCGGATGTCCTCCAGATGACCACCTCTAAGCAAAAATTTTTGAAAAAAATACACTGACCAGTCGACCGGTGTTTTGATGAAAGCTGAAAATCCTCCGTTAGAGCACTTGATATCAAATGGAGCTTTTACTCAAATTTGGTTATAAAAAAAAAGAAAGAAGATACACCGTTAAAGATGCTCTTATTAATCCAATATATATTAAAGTAACATTAACTATGAACAAAGAAAAGCAAAAGATGCTCTTCTTTAGGAATGCAGATCCTCTGCCATGGTTTCTTGCCATGATTCCTGTGGTGCTCTTTGTTTAGTTGTTGTTGTTTTTGTTTTTGTTTTTGTTTTTTTGTTTTTTTGTTTTTCTTTCAAATTAATTGGTTTCTCTTTCATTTGTTTTGTTCCATATAACCTAACACAGAGAGAGAGATGAACTGAGAGACGAAGGAGGAGGTAGAGGGACTTGATGGCGATGATGGCGAAGGAGAAACACAGAGGATGGCGGGCGACGGTGACTCCAGTGGCGACGCGACGGCGATGAGGCAAGATTGCGGTAGTTGTGACAAGGTCCCTTTTATCATTCTCATTTGTTCCTATTTGTTCCTGTTATATATATAAATGTTTGTTGTTGATTTGTCAAATAGGTTGTAATGGTTGAAGAGAAATTACCAACTATAAGAGATGCGGTTACTTGTCGTCAATTTCTGTTCAGTGGCCTCCACTTGTTGCAAATTTTATGTTTTCGATAATTGTACGAGGACAAACCAGATATGTTTCAGGAAAAAATATCAGGTTTATTGTAGCCAAAAAAAAAAAAATCAAATTATTCAGATTTATTGTTCTAACAGAACGATTTTGACTTGTAGGTTGATAAGGGTTTGTTGTGGATTTTTTGTTTATGATTTTAATCACAAACAGAAGAAAAAAAAATCAGATTTATTATAGAAAAAAAAATAATAATACAGAGGATAGATTTATTGTTCCAATATAACAGATTTTTTGAGGAAACAAAAACAAACAATGAGCCTTCCCCTTCTCTCTGAAATAAGAACAAATACAAAACTTTTTTTTTTAAACAGAAAAAGAAAAAGAAAGGGTGCTTTTGTTGTAGATTTATTGAGTTAGATTTGTTGTTTTTTAGGAGTACAAAACGAATGTCGGGGATGATTTCTAATCAGAATGGCATCAAGGCCTGAGGGTCCAAAATAGGGTTCTGCACAATTTTACTCATCCAACTCATTCTTTCATTTTTTATGACATGGCATAAATTACTGTGTTCTAGGCTTGTACATGTGCAAGACCTTGAGTATCAAAGAAAATAGTTAGCAGTTACATAATTTGTGCCTTTGAATTCCTTTTTCTCACTCCATACAGGACAAGTGTCATATATTCGTATTTCTTGTGTAATATTCAGTAGCAGTTGGTCACACTTGGTGCTCATTGATTCATTGTTTTAGACCATTGATTGATGGACCAACTCTTCAATAGTCTTTGATTAAGAAGACACTTTAAAGGTCACATCTAAATTAAAATTTATCATTCATATACAAAAATGTAGAGGTACTATTTTTACTTATAGTTTACTTTTAGTTTGGGAAAGGCTTACATGGCTTACAATTAACTAATTGGGATGCTGATATAGTAGGTGTCAATCTTTTTGTTTCAGCAAAAAGTTATTGTGGATTTATTTGGTTAGATTTGTTGTTGATTAAAGTGATGTGAGGTTAGCAATAATGTTGATTGTTGTGCATTTATTGGGTTAGATTTGTTGTTGATTAAAGAGATATGAGGTTAGAAATAATGTTGATTAAAGCAAAAACTAGTTTTTCTGTCATCCTTTGTAAAAAATATGTTCTGTTCCATCATCCTTTTATTATTTGGATGCTATTGAATTGCAGGTAATGGAACAAAATAATGTTGTTAATGATTGGAAGTTGAGATTGGGGATGTCATTTGATTGTGAACAAGCTGCATATGACTTTTACAATACCTATGGACAGTGGCGGAGCCAGAAAATCAAATTAGAAGGGGCACTTATTAATTATAATATTGAAAAATTTTACAAAAATATTTAACGCAAATTTTTACGATTGATTTCGAGAAACATAAAAAAAATAATGTAATTTATAACTACTGCATCATTGACAATATAAAATAATATAGATATAAGTTTTAAAATAAATTATATAATCATAAAAAAAAATTTATACAAAATTTGATTAAAAATTCAATAAATGGTAATACCACGTTATCATTAGTATGTGATTTCACCAACTAATAGTAAATAAACATATAGAGAGTGAACCTCACATGTCAGATGTAACTAACAATCCAATAAATTTCATATCTTTATAGTGAGATTACATATACTTGCATGTCAATAATAATGGCATCACCGTTACATTCAAAATTTTTCATAAAATTTTCATAGATGATATAGTTTATAATAGTTTCTTCATTTTCATTCAAAACAACCATTATTGTTCTCATAATTTTTAAAATGTCATTGACATTTCACTCTAATAATATTTTTGTAATTTTTTTTATTTACAATATTTTCTTTATATTTGCAACAAAACAACAATGCCCAATTAGTACACATTAATGTGTGTTTAGGAGGAAAAAGATTGAGTACACACCTAACCTTTGACATAATACACAATCCCAAGACTTGAACCCATAACCTTAAGGTTATTAGGTCAAGTCTTAACCATTGAACCAATAATCACCCTCTTTTTTTATATTTGCAAAAAAAAAAAATAAAAATCCCAAAATTCAGGGGGGCACGTGACCCCCTCGTCCCTTGTTGCTTCCACCAATAGTCAACCCTAACCTACTAATTTAATGTACTGTTCAAGTCATGTTAACGTGTTGTGTCGCAAATTTCCACCCTCACCCATAATCCTTCTTTTGGCTATACAATTGACTCCGGATTTAAAAGGGTTCGGATTTTATATCCCTAAAAGGATGGAATATGTAATAACATGCTGTGATAATGTAACATAAAATAATCACACTAAATATAGTATGAGTGGGCCTCAACATACATTAATCTCAATCTTTATTCTCAACATTATTAATCTCTTTTTATATGTTTAAGTATTATATATATGGTCAAACGCCGTATCTACTCCCAACAATCAAACAAATTCGAGGTGTTGTTATTCTATTTGATGTGATTTTTGAGTTCAAATTTTACCTGCCTGATGCAAATCTCTTTACCTATTCTTCTCCTACCAATTATAAAATAAATAAATATAAACAAATTCCAAATCCACACATGGTCTAGGTCGTGGAGGACGAGCTTCCCTGGTTGGCTTGACTGGGCCTTAGTTTGACTATGTCTAAACATTCTCTGGTATTTTTCTAGATATGCAATACCAACAAAAAAATAAAATAAAATTAAATTAAGAAATGAAGAACAAGATGCAAGTGGTTATATATAGCTAGGGTAGTCTAACTATTTTCATAGTATATAGGTCATAGTAAAAATTGGATGCTTCATGAGAATATAAACACATTAACCTATATACTATATGAATTGTGACACATTATTTTTGAAACTGTCAGTCCAAAATGCATAGCCAACTTTATGGGTTTACATATATATATATATATATATATATAT